GAAAAGGTGCTGTTTACCATCTCTGTAGCATAAAACCGCCCTAAAAAATTGTAAAAAAAAAATTCAAAATATTATATTTCTATAAAAATTCTAATGCAGTTAATAAAACATAAATCAGCACATCTATGCTGCAGGCGAACAACTGCTTCCTCCTTAGACAAGGCGGGTAGGATTAAATTCGGAAAATATGCCCAGGAATGCGTTTAGCCCCTCCTTGTGAAGAACAGTATAAAAAGACAGGAACCCTCAGGCGGGATCCTGGTTATTCGACGTCTTGTCTGAGAGCTGCCCAGCATCGCGCACATCCTGAACACGATGCAACCGCTCTACCATCAAGTCCTGGAAAATTCCTATGAAAGGATGGTGGGTACTTAAGCTTGACGATGCAACAATACTCCATCTGCGACTTCGAAGCACTTTCACAGAGTGAGCAAGTGCAGAAGAAGCCGAGTAGAAATACCCAAGCAATCGACTTGACTTCGGCTTCGACTCAGCATCGACAATACAGAAGGCTGAAACTTTGCAAGGATATTCACTGTGCATGTGCGAGCTGAAGATTTCAAATTCAGCTGTCGCGCATGCTTATACCGCGCATACGGTCACGTCGTGAGAACCAGCATCGACAACACAGAAGGCTGAAACTTTGCAAGGATATTATTCACTGCGCATGTGCGAGCTGAAGATTTCAAATTCAGCTGTCGCGCACGCTTATACCGCGCATACGGTCACGTCGTGAGAAGCAGCATCGACAACACAGAAGGCTGAAACTTTGCGAGGATATTCACTGCGCATGTACGAGCCGAAGATTTCGAATTCAGCTGTCGCGCATGCTCGCAACGCGCATACGTTCACGACAGGATAGAAAGCTGAAATTTTGCAAGGATATTCACTGCGCATATGCGAGCTGAAGATTTCAAATTCAGCTGTAGCGTACGCTTATATCGCGCATACGGCCACGCCATTAAATTGAGCATCGACATCGACTTAACTTCGATTTTGACTCGACGACAGAGTTTCGACTTATCAACAGCGACCGGGGGCAGTCCGCTCAACAGTGCTTCAATAGATTCAATCTGTAATTCGTGGTGAGCGTTTATAAGGAACTCTTCTTTGATTCGTTCACCACATTATTCATATGGAAAATCATATACCTAAACTGAGTTTCGATTTGCACTTGCATCATGACTTAGAGCACTTGAAAGATATTTCTAGCGAAGTGGCAATTTCGCTTACAAAGCAAGCTGCGAAGCTGAAAATTTGCAAGGATATTCATGTGTGGTCTTAATTCAGTTGGAAAGTGAAATTCCCCGCACGCAGACATGACAAATACTCAATTTTATCGCAAACTCAAAAGCGAGTGCTGTTATATGATATGTAAAATAATGATTTATGGTTTTTTGTTAGAAATAGCACAAGGAACAACCTCGTCCTTGGTTCAACTTTTGGGCATCCTACCCCTTTAAAGTTTTGCAATCTTAGTAATCTCTGATCCCTTGGGTATGAAAGCACCCCTTCCCAACTTCGGAATCCAGAACTAACTCTGAGCCACTACTTCCTTCTTAACCCTATTCTGGGAAGCCGAAGCTCCCAGAACCTCGCCGCCTTTATTTTTATATTGTTGTTCTTATCTGATTTTACACTTTATAACTCAATTTTGTATATAATCATAAATATGTATATAACTAAAAGCTTTGTACATACACACATGCAGGGCACGCTACTAGTATGGCAGGTTAACTTTAGGGTCGCGATAAAGCATTTTACAGATTTCATGATCCCCTTCCGACTTCCTTCAAGTTTGTATTTTTCAGTGAACGAGCATTCACCGGGGAAACGACCGAGCTTTATGGAAAAGACTAATAACTGATAATCATACACCCTAGAGGTGCATGCGATCCAGTAATGCAACACCTTCATCCCAGCCGACGTCTTTCCCCCTCCATGCGGGAAGATGCCAAAACACACTTAGGATGAATCTAATTTTTAGAGTGTAGAAATCATTCCTGTTGTTTTTGGTCTGCAAGCTTATCGCAAAAATGCATGATTGCACTGGCAGGCCTGGTGCGTTGCAGCCTAGGTTACATATGTCGTCAATATCTTTCTTTATAAAGCATCTCCATCTTCCGTCTAAAAGAATCCTAGAAACGTGTATTGTATTGGCAGTCTTGTTTTTCTTAAAAATTGCTGGGGAAGCTAACTAGAAGCAAATATAAGAGGGGAATTGTCATTGTGCCATCAAAATGGATTTGTGGATCGGCTCATTCAGGCTAGTTGCAAGTTAGAACTCGTTTGATTCAGTTTTTTAGACTATCAGTAACTAAGCTTTGTTGTCCAGTTATGTTATTTTGTTGATGTCGTTCTGCTATTTGTGCTAATTTTTTAGTTCTCTTAGCTAATTTAGTGGCATTCAGTTCATTGCTAGAAACATAGGAAATTTTTTTTTGCTTAGCTGTGATTTCCTGATACTTCTGCGAAGAATTTTGCATATTTTTTCCATGAAAAATTAGCGATCAACAGCTATGCGATTTCTGTCAAAACTCACAAATTTTCGATTTTTTTTTATATATATATTTTCTCTATGGTTTGTGATGTCGTCAAATAAAATATCTTTGTTTTTCTCATGGATGTAATGATGGAACATCGTTACTGTACGTCCGTTACTTTTCCTACAAATTTTTGCAAGAAAAAACTGCGAATCGCCTCGATTTCATACTTGCTTGTACAGGAACTGCTGATCGAAAAACGAATAAAATGGATCTGAAAAGGTGAAAAACTGTGGGCATACCTTCTGCCCTGAGTTGATTTCTTTTGTTTTTACAGCGGTATCCCCTTTTTAGGGACAGTCTTACCACATGTCAAAAGTTTGAGCTTGTTTCATTTCGCTGCGCTTGAGACAGTTGAAAGTATTTGAAAGTTGGTAGTAGTTAAAGAGAAGGTAATGTAAAGAGAGAAGGAAAAAGGAAAAAAAAGTAAAGGAAGAAAAGGAGAAAATTTGGAAGAATTATAGTTTTTAGATTTTTCAAAGATTATTTTTATAAAATTTTAAAAAATTGGTAAGAAATGTTTCAGTTCATTAAGTCGTACACATTCCGAGTAAGAGCTTGCACAAATCGGTCGTCTCGTAGCAAAGCTGTTTTTTGTCTTCTTCCAAAAAAGGCTTAGAAGCAACCTGGAGATTGCCTCCAGGCATGCGTTAATATCGAGTGAAAAGAACGATTTGTAGAAAGTCTGAATATTTCCTTGGTGCAGTCAAGCCCTCGATTTTCGCCATGTAAATAAAAGCTGTAAAAATATTAGTGATGATATGTATTTAAAATATAAAAAAATGCTAAATGCATTAAAAAATATAAAAAATAAAACTCAAAAATATATTGAAAATAATCAAATGAGCAGGAATGTTTCGGCCCATTAAGTTGTATATATTCCTATTCAGCACTAGAACTGGATCTCATCAGTACGATGGTTATGATGTTGATATTTTTCTTTTTGATGTCTTTTTATTCCACGGGGCCAATCTTTAATAGGCGGTGAAATTTCCTTTCCGAAATTTATGTTTTTTTTTTGCAATTTATATGTTTACCTGCATCACATTTTTTTTATTAATTCACTTGTTACTTGGAAAAATTTCGAGAAGAATAACTGCCTTTAAGCGGACTCTCTAAAATGCTTCGGTTTTTTCTGGAACCTTGGTTTCTTCCAGACTCAGGCTTGGAAGCTACTTTGCCAGTGAATTCTTAAAAAACGTGGACCGCGAGCCGAGCATGTGCGGCTTTTTCATGTTTTACCCGACGCGCGTGCTCGAAGACCGGTGCGAGAGGCTTCCAAGGTATTGTGCATGAGAATCGGAAGCTTCAGGTACTTCGATTATCGTGAGTTTGCATGCTTATTTTGATTTTTTATGCCTTAAAAAAATTTGTTTCCTATTCTGACCAATCGAGGAGGAAAATTTGCAACCTGAAAATCATTTAAGCGAAAAATTCGCAAATTATAATTTTGCTTTTCTTAAATTTCTTCTTTTCTCGATAGATTTTAAATTTAGACAAAAGTTACTGAAAATCCGTCGCAGACGGGAAGCTCTTTCGCAGGAACATATGGGGAAAAGGGTCGAATTCCCTATTTTCACAATTTTCTTGCCCATCGAATCGTGACGATTTATCCATTACACTATTGGTTCTTATGCTACAGATTTCATATTCATAGCTTATAAGTGCAATAGTCACAGGTACTATAGATCTTCCTATTTTTCTCGACCTTTTCAGGATATCCAAGAAAAAATTTTTGCTTGAAAATCATTTCAGGAATTCAAATTTTTTCATTTTTTCAAAATCTGTTCAGGAATTCAAATTCTTTTTTTACGTTTTTTCTTCAAATTCAAATCTTTTTCTTCGAAGGAACTCGAGTTTTTCATCTCAAATATGTTTAGATTTTTTTTGATTTTTTTTCAAAAAAATGGCCTTTGTGTTATTTGAGATTTTACCTTAAATTTAAAAATTCAGTGCTTCAGGCAACAATGTTCTTGGAAGTGATCGACCCCAGCACTGGGCAACAGACCTGGAAAGTTGCTG